TAAAGCTAAAGTTCTAGGCCAAGTTAATGCTGAATTATAAGTCTTCAAGTGTTGGAAAGCAAAGGATATGAAAGGTTTAGGTCTGTCTACAGAAGAGCTATAGATCCTGGAAGCCTAAGACTTGTAAGAAAACTACAGCACCAGAGGGCACAACTTGGAGCTGCTCCTTCCTGCATGCTACATTCTCTCTGTCAAAATCAGAGGGCACAAGAGCTGCCAAGGACAAGCTTTTGAAAATCCTCTGGCATGTCTATGTGTGCATCCAGGCAATGTGTGCAACCCTAGCATGCTGAATGATAACACCCCAAGAACATGATCCTGCTTGCACATCAGCTGGAGTGATTTCACCACCATCCACTGCCTGTCACCATTTGTTCTGTGTCCCAAATTACAGGAAACTTCAGAGATTTCCCCACTCTTCTTGACAGAAAGACACTAGGAAAATGGTCATTTAAGTTCCCTGATATTACTAACACCTGAGAGCTTTGCCACGGTTGTCAAAACCTCCACTTTGTTATCACATAGGCCCATTACACCTGCTGGGTTTATCCATAAATATCGTTTTTATTTTTTCATAAATGTCTTAATAGTGCAGAAATGCTAAGGAATCTTTAACTTAATCACTAAAAGGAAAGCTGTGTAGCTCTTGTCTGGACAGCAACCAATTCCTTCCCATTTCTTCATCATTAGATTAGTAAGTGTATTGAGTTATTTTGGGTTTTTTATGGGGTGGGGCTGGGAGAACTATTAATGAATGAGATAATACTTTAGTAAGCTCTTAAATCAAAAGTAAGTGCACTATATATCTTCTTCTACCCAGGAACCACATTCAGTTCTTGGTTGCAATAGGCACCTGCTGTATTCTCTCTTCCTGCTACCCTATGCTGAGTGGAAGGAGGGAGAAGTGTCTGGTCAGCTCACACTTTCCCTTTCAGATGTTACCTTTATTCAGAGGAATGCATGTCTTAATTACCCATGGGTAAAGCTGTTGGACATGAAGGCTTAAGTTTAGAATACTTCCCTTTGAATATAGGTAAGAAAACAAACTGAGCACAAAAGATCTTTGTTATTTCTGGTAAGTAAAGTGTATGCAGTTAGGAGACAATCCATTCTTGCTAGCTGGGGAAATCAAAAGCTAAGTACAATGGGAGGAGGCTTCTCTTCTTCAAACCTTCACTTCCAGGAATAGCAGAATGCAAGCCACCCAAGGTTGCTCAACCTGAAGTGGAGTGAAACAGCTCAGACTGATGTCATTCTTCCCATCTTTAAAAACACTTCGTGTTCTGGGCAGCTGAGAGATTGCAACACACTGGTCCAATCACTGAGAGATTTATTTTCTTACTCAAATGAAACCAGTCCTGATTCTTGCCTTGCAGATGAACTAGGATCTGGACACTGCTGAAGAAATTTCTGAGAAGGTGAGTCCCGAACCCCGCTATGTAGAGTTGTGAGTTCTGTGAACCCACAAAGGCACGGGGGCAATCAATGCTGTTTCTTTCAGAGGACAATGGAAGGAACAGGGCTTGTACCCACTGCTTTTAGGGAAATGAACCCACAGCAGATAGATTCTGATGTTTCACTAGGGCAGATGGCAGACATTTTTATCCCACACTTACTGGGCCTTGAGCCAAAAAAAAAAAAACTCTGCATTTTGATTATGGCAGATAATAAAATAATTTTTTAAGTATAAGTATGAGTAAAGGCAAAATGAGAAGAAAGCTTTAGTTATCTTGGCTGGAGAGTAAGGAGTAACTTCTTGGCTATTTTGATTACTCTGAAATATTTAATGAAAATATATCAGGACATGGAGCTGCACTCTAGTGTTCTGCACGTGAAACAATGGACATGTATAGCACAAAGTTCCACAGATTCACAGTTATTCAAGTACATCTTTTTTATTCATCCACCAACATACTTGCTATCTTTTACAGCAGCAGTATCTCAATCACAATGAGTTAGTTCCTGTCATCTTGAAAGTTTTTTGTTTTCTTTTGTTTTACATTGCTTGGATTTGTTTTTAGTTTTCTGGTGGAAAACATAGGGGTATTCAGGAGAGTTAAATAGAAATATATCTCTACTACATACTTTTTGAATATTTTAAAGGCTTTTCATGTACCCTGTAGAATTTCTAATATGTACTTGAACAGAGTACTTTAAAAATGATTTGAGACATGTATATATGTAATGCTATCTCTCCTGGTGTTTTCTTTATGTTTTTCAAACATTTTAAATTTTTAACAGATGTTTATACCTTGATAGTTTAGTAATTGAGAAATATACTGCTGTATCTATCACAATGTTCTGGGTTTTATCAAATTCACTGTATGCTCTTTCACATACACATGAAGAATATATGTATGCAACTTTTCATTTGGAAAAGAAATATTCCGTGTTGCTACTTATTATGATCCTATCAAGAGACACAAAATACTAAGAATTACCATACACTATTAGTGGTATACAATCCCAACATTTAAAGAATTAAGGGTATGTTCTGGTTGCATTTTGGCAACTTGGCACGAGATAAAGTTATCTGGAAAGAGATTCCTGGGTTAAGAAAATGCTTCCTTTAAAATTGCTTGTAAGAATGTGTGGACGTCATACTCTTGATTAGTGATTGATGTGAGTGTGTAACCCTGTGGGTGCAGTGCTTCTCCTGTGCAGGTGGTCCCGAGTGCAGAGCAAGCCATGAGAATCAAGTGAGGAATCAGTGTTCCTCATGGCTTCTGCTTCAGTTCCTACCTTCAGGTTCCAGCCTTGAATTAATTCTCTGACTTCTTTCACTAAAGGACTGTGATTTGGAATGAAAAATTGCATGAACTCTTTTCGTCCCAAGTTGGTTTTGGTCATGATCTTTTATCACAGCAAGAGAACCTGTAACTAAAAGAGAAACCGGTGCACGGTTTGTGGGATATTATTGTGACACACCTGACTAGGTTTTGGGAAGAATTATGAATGAACTTTGTAACTTTGGACTCTAAAAGCAATTGCATATTTAGAGATTAGTGTGGACTATTGTGGGAACTTAAAAAATAATGCAGAGGGCAGTGCAGATGACGGAGGCCTGACTTGGACTTCAGAGGGAAGGTTAAACGTTCCCTAAAGAATCTACTGAGATGACTTAATATTTTGAATTACAGCTGTGATTCTGGTCATCTGGCATTGAAGAATTGGCTGTGATTAAGAAGAGATCAACATTATTGAGGAATAATATGGGAAGTATCTTCTCACTCAGTTCTTAGAGAAATTTTCAGAAAGCCAGATTTTTATAGTTTCTAATTTTCTAATTATTCTCTTATGAGTGTTGAAAGACAAGTGTATATAATAAAAGTTTAATTCCACTCCTACTTAGTAGAGTAAAATTAATAGGTTACCAACAAGGAAGGAACTATGAGTAGTCTTGTCATAGGTTTTCCATCTCAGAAATGGTGCCGGGTATTGGTTTCAACTTATACATGATAGAGATCAAATCAAAAAAAGGATGCTTAATCCTACAATGTTCATGCCACAGTTACACCAGTGACCATGTGTTGACAGACTGTTTGTTACCTCCAATAATCTACAACCGGGTAAGGTTAATGACTATTTTGCTCATATGAAAGGTATTGTGTAGAATACCTTCCGGAATATTAAAATCTATCCAGTAAGGATGAGGCTTCCAGGTGAGTATCAACTTGATTTGTTTGTGTTCTGTTACACATGAATTTGGTGTCTTCAGTAATACATTCTGAAATACAATCAAGAGCGTTGTCGACAAGCTATATGTTGGGGGTATATGAGAACTGACTGGCCAATAACTTTAACAGAGAAAATTCATTCCTAGAACTGGGCATTTTGTTAACCTATGGTGTTTATTAGAATCTTGTTGCTCATTATACAGTAACTACATGTAAATTCTTGATATATATTATATAAAACAAATGATGGATGGCAGATAGATGAACAGATAAATAGAGTGTATATTATATCATTTCACATACCATTTTATATTATATTATATTTTAGGAAACTTTATATCAGTAGGCTTCTATGTTAGCTTTTGTAAACATAGTGTTAGTTATTTTCTCTCTCTATTTCCTCTACTATCCTACCCTCCCACTAACGAACCCATTTAACTTTTGTTTTCAAAGGTTTTCCAAACAATGAAAAAGAAATTAGACATACCACAAACCTTGACAATAGGAGTGCATTTTGTATATTTTGCAGCAAATGACCTCAAGAATAAAAATAAACATAAATGGGATGAATGCAGATTATTCTAGAACTTCCTTTATATTTTAGGAGAAAGAAATATTTTTGACACATTAAGAAAGTTTTAAAAGATCTGGGGAGGATTTAAGCATGGCTTTTACGTAAAAATTCTGTCTATGTACAAATAGAAACACTTAGTCAAGCCTGAAAGGATAAAAATCAAGAAACTACTGATATAACTCCATTCAATAAAATCTAGGGTGCTACTCTGAAAAGTATGTAGACATTTGGGATATTGACAGCAATATGAACAAAAAAGGACCCAAAGTGCACAATCAGAGCCCAGGAGGGATAGTATGCTCATGAGGGGTGTTTGAGGGAAAGCCTAGCGGACAAGGGTCAGTGGCTCAGCATGGCCATGATACTTGAGTCATGGTTCATCCAGGTATACTGTAATAGGATGGAGTCCATTTGCTTATAGGTCACTTTACAATGGAAACAGTCAGGAACCCACAAGCAGATATCCAGAGATGAACTATAGCACCAAATAAGAAAGGAAGAAGGACACAGAATTTTGACACACATAGCACAAATCTAAACAAACACTGCAACAATTACTGATCCAACACTTTACTTCACCACAACTGCCTCTGGTCTAAGTGACCTAACATGTCTAGAAGGGGGAAGCTTCGTAGACTTGTTTATTAATACAGAAGTTCTTTATCAGTTTAGCACAGTGACACAGATTATATTTAACTCTATTTTTCTCTCACATGCAATTATAGATATTACCTTTTGGGGTCATTCACTCACACAGAAATATCTGACTTGGAATTGCCTGTATATGTGCATAATCCTATGTCTGCTTACATCTATTTTCATCTTTTAGGATTGTCCATAATTTTAGAGATAATGAGTGAATATAAGAAAATAATTCTTCTAAAGGGATTGGAGCGTATGGAAGACTACCACTTTAGGGTAATCAAGCCCATACTAAGAAGCAAACTAAATCTATCTAAAAAGATGCAAGATGATTATGACAGAATTCAGATTGCTGACTGGATGGAGGATACGTTCCCAAAAGATGCAGGACTGGACACACTGATGGATGTGTGCCAAAGCATCAAAGAACTGGAAGGCCTTGCCAAAACCCTTGAAGCAGAGAAGGCAAAAGGTAACAGGGACCAACGGGACACTCATCCCTTCTCCACCCTCCCCAAGAGGTCTAGTTCCCTGCAGGGTTCAGAGCTGATCTGTAGCTTTCCCAGGGCGTGCCTTAGAAACAGCAAGGGTGGAAACATTTCAGAGCAAATCAAGTTGGTGATTTCAAAAAACTCTTTCTTACAAAAAAAAAAATCTCGATATATTTCTCGTAGACATCTTTTGTTTTGTAGGTAAATAAAATAAAAACAGTTGTTGAGGTAGAGTAGAATACCTATCGTGGTAGAAAAACAAGAAAATGATAAAGGAAAACTTGAAAAAAAATCACTTAGAACATTTAAATAAATTTAATACTTTATTAACAATCTTACCCATTAATGGATATCTATTCTGGTAAAAAAAAAATGTGATCTAATATTTAAGTAGAAGCACAAATATAAGAGATGTGAATGAGTTTCTTCATATAAAGACACCAGATTTTAAAAATATTGTGACCCGTCCAGCAGGCCACATAATTCGTGAGCCTCGAGTTTGGGATCACCTGGGTAGGAGTGGGGGGGAAGAGAAAGAGAACCAAGCGCATATAAAGAATGACAGAGTCAGTCTGAGATGCGTCTAGGTTCCGTTTATTGCAGGCAGGGGTTTATTCTTATAGAGAGGTTTTGGTAGGGAGGGGTAGGGTTAGAGGGGAAACGAAACTATTGCGCCCTAGGCCAGGGAGGAAGCAATATGTCTCTTGAGACATCTTGTGGTTAGGCCATGTTTTGGAACACCTTGAGGTTAGGCCGTTCTGAGAACTGTATCACAGCTGTTTGTGCAGCAAGCTGTTTTTGCAGCAAGCTGTTTTTGCAGAGAGGATGAGGAAGATTGGCCAGTACTTTAGGTCGGGGGGCTTCTTGGTCCCCATCAATATTGAATGTACTGGTACACAATTCTGACCTGTGAATTTAGCATAAGGAGCCTCAGTCAAGAAAACCTGCAGACTGAGAATACCCTGAGTTACATAGAAAGATATATGGCCAATAGAGAAGTCAAAATCCAATGTTGCTGGTTTGTTACATCAAATATCGAAACATAATTCTTTATCATTATTTATGATTTGGAATTATCTTCTTTAGAAGGTGACCTATTAGTATTATGATAAAAGTTTCATGTTTTTAAAATAAGACTGTTGGATAAGAGTGACAAGCTTATACAAATATGAATATATGTTCCCAACATAGAGAAGCTAATTCCACTACAGCTGGGTTGAGCAGAAAATCCCCTGAGGTAATTCCTGTATCTGACTTGTTACCACTGAAATCCTCCTATCCAGGCAAAGCCTCTGCAGCAGAAGAAAATAAACACACAGACACAAGTAGAGACGAAATAGTTCTTGAAATAGTTGCTGGATACTTGATCACATTTTCCACCAGGAGATTGCGTTATTATTTGGGGGAAAAGCTCCCCCCCAAAAAAACTGTTGGTAGAATTTGGCCTGCCTCAGCCCTAGCACACACCTTTACTCCAAGAGTTTTCAGCTTAAATATTTTAATAGGATCTTAAAAAGTCAACCATAGATGAAGGGGCGGAGCAAAAAACCAATTGAAAGGAAGTAAACATAAGACTATTAGTTTAAGAAAAAAACATCAAGAGTAACAGAAAGTCAGCATGATGGATAGAGAGAAGCACAGGAAGTAGAGCGAAGGACATTGAGCTTGAAGGATTTTGGTTTGACGTGGTACTGGAAACAGGAAATTATGGAACACCAGTGGAAAAGGAAAATCAGATGGTTACTATCTCTGTCTCTGTGAGCTAGCAGGCTTTCATCCCAACATCTGTCTCTTAAGTTTTTACTCGTAAAATTAAATGATAGCGGTTTTGTTAAAGTCGACATGAAATTATTGTCTTTCTCTAAAATCATTAAGGAAAAGAAAATAAAATATCCATTTATAAAACTGAAAGAAAATAAATAATTCTGAGTGAGCTTCAACCATCTTAATCCCTGGATTTACTGTGTTTCCTTTATTCCAATAGTTCAGAAGCAAAAGAAAGGAAAAAATAAAACTGCATTGGGAAGAAGAAAGCAAGATGAACCCAGTAGTTCCCAATCTCTTTCCACCGGTAATGAATCAAACAAGGTAAAGTGGCTAATCTCCAGACAAAATGCTTCTACCCAGGTTCTTCCCCTTCTTAACTCTTTAGGAAGATTTAGCACTCTATCTATCTAGTCCAAGGCTCTATGAAAATGAAGTTCTAAGTCAACAAATTCATCGTGGCCTATAACTCATTTTGTGGCAGATATACTGGTGCAGTATAATCCCTCAAGGATGTAAACAAAAAATCACTATGTGGCTTTTTAAAAAACCATTTACTAAATTATCAGGCACTTTAGGATATGACTCTTAAAACAATTCAACCTGAATATGAACTTTGTTATTCCACAGCTATTTTCTTATGACACCACAGGAATAAGTAGGATGAGATAAATGTAAATTTTTAACCCCTTTATATGACAATTCTTCATGTCTTAGTTAGGGTTTCTATTTCTTTGAAGCAATGTCATGACTACTGCAAGTCTTATGAAAACCATTTAATGGAAGCTTTCTTATATTCAAAGGGTTAGTCCATTATTATCAATGTAGGAAGCATGACAGCATGCAGGCAGACATTGTGCTAGAGAAACTGTATAGAAAAGCACATCTTAGCATGGACAAAGCTGGGGTTCTATTTCCAACACACAGGAAAATCAATAAAGAAAGACATTGTTCTTTCAGAAAAAAAGAAAGATGCCCACAAAAACCGAAGGTAGCAAGAAAAGGAAACTTACACAGGAGCAGACTCAGCTTCCAGAACCTTCAGTAAGAAACACACAGAAAGATGAAGGTTGTCTCCAGACCTCTCATAAGCCTCCACCGACACCATTGTGCAGTTCCTCCAACAAGGTATCACTTTCCTATTCCCAGTGCTTGCCCCTTCCTGAAGTTTAACTGGGCTCACCACAGCCTTAGAAAAATATCTCATTGATCCCCTACTTCAGAGATTTTCCTCCTATTATTAAATATCTCATTAAGTTATTTATTCATTTATTACAGCCACCATGGTAGTGAAAAGGTAAATATTCATGAAATGATTTCTAAGGCTGTGAATGAACTTTCTGCTTAGGGTTCAGAAGGAAGTATAAAGGAGACAGATAGAGATGAACACTGGAATATATCAATCCCCATTGCCTATTTTCTTCTCAGTCCTTTTCCCTTTGCTAGTAGCCCAACTTCAGGGGATGTTTTCAACATTCTGTGTTCCTCTAAGCAGGTATTTTGACACATGCTGTTTACCTGCTTTGAAGTCTTTAGCCTGTTCATTCACTAACTAAATACTGTGTAATTGTAAGGGTTCTTTTGCTGGGAGTCAGATTCAGACCCCTTCTAGGCATACACTAAACTCTCCCAGACATTTATCATTGAAGGGTTCCTGTTCTTATTTTGATGCCTTCTGAACATAATTACAACCATACTAACCATGAAAATAGTTCTCATACAATCTCCTAATCTTGTACATTTTCTAATCTTCAAATTAATGCCCTCATCTAATCTACTGTTCCATTTATATTAGAAATATACTTTCTGATATAAAACACATAGTTGAGGAATCATGGTTAAACACTGCTACCAATAGGGTGACGTCTACATGTTTCCGAGTTGAATTTCAGGGAGGGCTACCTCTTACAGCTGCCTTCATGAAATGTATCCATGTTGGCCATGACTGCCAGCATGCTTCTACTTTGAGTTCTACCGTGTTGCCCTCATTTCAACGTGTTCTCCTGATGCTCAAAAATGGAGTAGGAAACCGAGAAGGCTGGTGATCAAAGTAAAATGGTTCGAAAACTTTTCCTGGTCCCGGGATTCTCCTCCATGCCTGCTATTATGCAAAAAGAAGAACTGCTTGTCTGAATCCTTTCTGATTAACAACATTTAAGGGGCTCTTCCCGGGGCTGCCTGTCTAACCCTTTTGCCAGAAAGTTTGACAAGTTAGCCAAGATTTTATAACTAAAATCTTAAGAATGTTCATACATAAAAATAGACTAGAGCATTGGGGGCTTTGTGTTCATACCCCATGACTGTAATAAGTATAATCCTTTTATTTACAAGGTAAAAATAGCATTAACTGGAAACTCTAGGTAGGGATTTAAGTAAATGTCCATTTCTCCCTTTATCTAGGTTATAGATTGCGATCATTGTTCCGACGTTCTCCGTGGTACTCAGTGAGATTATGGAGTTGTGCCCTATGATCTGTCTGAATTATGCATGTTTATCCTCTGTGTGTTTTATGTAGACACCAAGGACGGGAAACATACCAAAGGAACCTGTTAAGGAAGAAGGTTACCATCGAGAACCCAAAGAAGTGATGGTTTTGAAAGTAACAGAACCATTTACTTATGATTTGATTGATGACAAAAGGATGTTCCATGCCACAGTGGCGACTGAGAATGAATTCTTCAGAGTGAAGATTTTTGACCCAGTGCTAAGGAATAAGTTCATTCCAAATAAGATTATTGCCATATCAAATTATTTTGGCTTAAATGGCTTTCTGGAAATACACCAAGCTTCCTGTGTGTCTGATGTAGACAAGAAGAGAACGATGGCTATCTCAAATACACTGAGGCAAAGAGCCAATACGACTCCTAAAATTAGGGATCTTTTCTCACAGGCACAGGGGACATATGTGAATGGAGAGTTTGTGGTCTATAAGGTAAGCCATTGTGATACTTGGGAAATTCCTTTTGCAGTCTGGGATTTTAAGTTTTAACTTGTCACTGGAATTTGCTCAACTTATTTAACACAGTAAATAACTGCTCTTCATATCAGAAAGAGATGAGTACAGTTTCCTCATTTGGGGATTGGGAGAGTCTCTTATCATTCTTCTCCACAAGGTAAAACGATGAAAAATCTTTGAAATCGATTCATCAATAACCTTTGACATTTTTCTACCAGGAACAATCCATTATATCCATCTTTTTCACAGACACTATTCAATTTATAGCACACTTCCGGATTCTTATTCTTTGATAGCTTCAATACCCATATTATTAGCAACTGAGTTGCAAAAAGAGCCAAACTCAAAGCCTACATGCAGTTTGAGATGATGAGAATAAAAAACAAGAGACTACTCTGCTCCAGATTGAAGGCATGACCAATAAGCCAAGATTATTTCTTTAATAATCTTGTTCTCATTGTAATATTCTTTACATTGTATAAAGCACTTTTGATAGGGTGACTAATGTTTTAAATAATAAAAGGAAGAGGAGTTTTACAGTCTAGTTTAATTTCACAGTTAATAACAAGGCACAACAAAAGTGATGAAATTCAACAAATCTGTGACTTTCTGGGGTTTCTTTAAGGCCAATGTACCAATTCATTAATATGCTTATTAAGTGTATGATTTCATAATTCATTGTTTATGAATCAGCCATGGCTTTTAAATTTATCTATGCTGTTTTTGACTGTGCTGGTGCATTTGGTTACACAATTAATAAGTAAACTAAGTGGGACTCGAACTTAAACGCCAGGACTAAAAGCTGTAGATTTTACATTTGAGTGATTAGGAAGGAGTAGAGTGAACAATGTGTGCACTGAGCAAATGTGATCCATTTAAAACGGAGGTGAGTGTGTTTGTGTGTGTCTGTGATGAGTGAATGTAACAGTCCTTCTGTCTGTCTGTTAATATCTATTTGTATGTCCATGCATTTGTATCACATAGTATCTCTTATTTCTGTTAGTGTGTTCCTTTTGTTTCATTCTTGTTGGTTTTCTTCTTTATTCACCTGTTTGTTTTCTTAAGAGAGAGAAAAAGAAGCTGTGGAGTTGGAAAGGTAGGGAAGTGAGGATAAACTAGGAGGAGTAGAGAAGGGAAAATTATGATCAGATTAGGTTACATGAAAATGAGTTTATTTTCAATAAAAATTGAAATAAATTAAATTAAAAAAACTTAGAGTAGTGTTTCTCAGACTGACAACGAGTCACAAGTAGCCTTTCTTCTCAGGCATCCTGGAGACACCTAAGAAACCTGCAATGGTAACTAAACGGTTATTGCATTTTATTCTTGTTTTCATTTTTTTGTCCCTAAAGAAATCTCAGATATTCCTATATGTTACCATAGTACTTAGAAATATACTCATTTTTTCCCTAAAAACACCCAGCAGAAGAAATCCTCAAGTAGGTAACACATAAGAGTGGCTTCCAAGGGCTGCAGTGCTGACCCAATCATTAAGGCTAGGCCCACAAGGCTTCAAGAGGGATTTCAAACAAAACATTTGTTCACTAAAACATCTTAAACTCTCTTGTGCCTGAAAACTTTTTTTAGTTATTTATTTTGTCTGTGAGGGATGGGAAGAAACACAAAAACTTTTAAAGTAGTGTGGAAGTCATGAGAGAACACCACAAATGAGTTTTCTCTTTCTACCATGAGAGCTGCTCATTGAGACCAGGTAATCAGGCTTGCCAGCAAGCACCCTTCCCCACTGAACCATTTCACTGGCTCCTGTACCTCTGATTCTAAACCTAAGAGCGATCTTGCCTTGGCAGGGACAGGTTTATGCCGACACTCTTTATTCCTCATAGAGGTGACAAGCTTTGACACATTTCCTAAAAGATGAATGTTAACTTGCTTTTCAGAAAACTGAGAGGAATCCCTTCATTTACTATGGAATTGAAGATGATACAGGGAAAATGGAAGTGGTGGTCCATGGAAGACTGACCAATATAAAGTGTGAGCCAGGCCAAAAACTTTGACTCATCTGTTTTGAATTGTCCTCAAGCAAAGATACATGGCAGCTGAAGTCTGTAAGACACAGTAACATGCAGGTGTGTGCTCTGAAATTTAATATTATTAAGAATCATTCATATATATGATTTCATAAATACATATATATAGTGTACTTTTCTGTTGATATTACATATACAATCCAATAGAAATAAAAATTAAACTTTTCATGTTTAATAACAAAGTTCCTTCCACTACCTTTTGAGTAAATATTTTTAAATTATACTAAAGAATAAATTCAAAAAAATCTCAAAAGTTGTTATATGTTTAGCTAATGACAAAAAGTATTTCATTTATCAAAGCAGAGAGATAATTTGACAGGACTCAGGTAATTAAGATGTTTGTTTTAAATTATGACTCTTTGATTTTTCAAACTGAGCAAAGACTAAAGCACAAAGAATCTTGGAGCCTTCATGTATAATATTCAAATACTGTCTGTTGCAGAGCATGATGTACATAAATCATAAGTTCCAAAGGATGCCCTGGGCAAATCAGACCACAATGTGCTAATATCCACAATCCTTGTTATACTTACACATTGTGTGGGATTTATTTTACACTTTTAAAATGGCCACTATAACCACGTGAACTGAAAAATAGAAGGCATCACATGTTCATTCACAAAGAAACGCTCTTACAGCACCTTGGTTCTCAGACCACCAGCCAAAGGTTTAAAACTTCCCCCATGGCGGCTGCAACAACAAAGTCCTTTCTCCCTCCTCCCAGCCTGCCTGTTTAATGAGTCTCTAAACTCAGTCTCTCCATCAAGGATGGAAGCTCTTTTTCCTCCCCTCTGGAGCTCTGTGTCATACACAGCCCTTCCAACTGTGCTCAAGTCTGTAGGTATTACTACTTTCATAGTCCCAAGTAGGGAAGAAAGCTGACTCCAAAGCCAGAGAGGTATTAAAAAGATAGACCAGTGAAAAATGGGACGTGACCTATAGGGTCCCATCAGTATCAATGTAGAGTGTTTGGTGCCATTGAATTTCACTTGATCTGACATCATCATCTTCTTCTTTAAGGTTGTCAATGTCAGAAAGAAAGTCCCTCAAGCCTGATTCAGATCTGAAAACCTGGATGCCAAGGATACTGTTTATGGAGATAAGATCCAAGTCCAGAAAATAAATGTATATATGAACTGTTGCAATACTATATCAATGAAAGCCAGCTCCTTTTTATGGTTTTCCAAGATAGGATTTCTCTGTTTAGCCATTGTTGTCCTGAAAATCACTTTGTAGACCAGGCTGGCCTTGAACTCAGAGATCTACCTGCCTCAGCCTTCTGAGTGCTGGGATTAAAGGTCTGTGCCACCACCATCAGACCTGTTCTTAATTCTAGGAAATGGTACTTTCTTATATTCTTTATAAACTTTTGTATGATCTAAGTTCCATATTTTTATCAATAACTTTTATACTTGTTAATCTGTAAGTTTTACAAATAAAACTTAAATATAAACCACATTTACAATAAAGCAGTGCTTCCTTCGGGATATCTGTCAGCCATTTGAGAATTGCTGTCAAATCAAAAGTATAGAATACATGCTTCACGTGTGAAGTTAAGGACAAAGCATGTTAAAGAACAAGTAGACCACATATGCTCCAGAAAAACTAAGGCATTAATAGACACAGAAGATTGAATTCAGCCTTGAGTGCCATTTCTAAAGCTAGTCTGGTGAGGACAGGAGAAGTCTTCAGGTTCTTTTTGTTCAACAAATTTGAGTGTTTCATAGAGTTTAATTATTTGAGCAAAGAATCCACAAAAGTGAGATGTTTTATGAGTGGGGATTATTTTCAAGAGTATGGATTCTCAACTCCAATTCTATAATGAAATAATGTCACTGGAAACTTTGAGATAAAAATGAGTAGGCCCTGTGGTAAAGGAAGTAAGAAATTAGTCAGTCCCCATCTCCCATTACCCACAAGATTCGCTGAAAACGCATGGGATAAAACTGGACTCTCTGAACATGGCGAACAATGAGGGCTGATGAGACGCAAAGGACAATGGCACGGGGTTTTGATCCTGCTTAATGTGCTGTCTTGGTGGGAGCCTAGCCAGTTTGGATGTTCACCTTCCTAGATATGGACTGAGGGGGGAGGACCTAGGACTTACCACAGGGCAGAAAACCCTGACTGCTCTTTGGACTGGAGAGGGAGGGGGAAAGGAGTGTGGGAAGAGGGAGAAGGGTGGGAGGAGGGGGAGAAGGGTGGGAGCAGAGGGAAGGAAATGGCAGGCTGGGAGGAGGTGGAAACTTGTTTTTTTTTCTCCTTTTCTCAATAAAAAAATAAAAAATAAAAAAAACAAAGTAATTGAATACTGTATTTTTGGTTTTTTAACATGATCATCTTATTGACATTGACATTGATGTATATAATAATATGTAGCATAAACACAATGTGGTTTTAATAAAAAATTCATTTATAACAAGCCAACTTGCTGTTACATGACCATTGAGGACACACACTGTGGACTAGTAAGAGATCTTTTTATTTATACACAGATACCATGTACATCAGAGGCTGACATTAAATAAACAAACGTTTCAGATGAAAAAAAAAAAAGAAATTAGTCAGGATTCCCAAAGAGGCCTTTCTGGAGTATTGTTTATTTCTCTTACTGCTATAAAAATGGACTGACTGCTGCTGGAGCTCCTTCCACTCTTTTAAGATACCAGCCCACTTGGGAGTGGTCTTTTTTGTTTTAAAAAGCAGCAGTAGCCCTGCTCTTCCTCTCTTGCCTCTGACTCCTAGACTCAGTTCCTGATCGTGCAGAGGGCTGTTGTCTAGGACAGTGATCTATAATTTTTCACCTTAAATAAATAACCCTTTTATTAATCAGAATTCCAAACTGGTGTGTGATTGTTTTGTGACTTACTTCTATATTTGATGCTCACATGAATTTGGAAATCCATGTCTTATTTCCCAAACTAATATCATGGAAATTTGGGATGGGGACGGGGGGTTAGTTCATGGTCACTTCCCATCAATATATCAATGCAACTTGAAAATCATATGTGAAAGGAAATTCTATTGTTGGTTTTGCTATTTTCATCTTTCTTTTATTTTTTCCTTTATTTTCGGTTTATTCTCCTAGCACATGAGGATGAGATAGGCTAGCATGGCAAACAGCTTAGCCACTTGAGACCTCACTTTTCTTGTTTGATAACCACAGTTACACTTTCCAGCCTGAGACCATTATCTGCATCCCCTGTATACACACATTCTGCTGTCCATATTTCTAAAACCTATTTACCGCATGGACAACCACCATACATCAGGTCACAAATAAATATATAAATGTTGGAAATAATGAAAATGATTACTGTCCTTAGAAATACTTAAATATATTACTTATATTCAAGTATTTCACAAAATCTTTTTGATACCAAAAAAATACCGATGTAATACAGACTAGACTAGTTCAGGTATATGTACAACAAGACAAACTGTGTCCTCACAAGGAACATTTATGACTAATATCATGCTTCCACCTTCCTCCTATGTATAATTGTGTGTATATAGTCAAATGAAATACTGTGTTGAAAGGACATGCACAGGAAGTAAATGCCTACCTAATCTAAGCCTGTCAGTTGAAATGAAGATCCACCCATGTCACACCCCCACAGCACCCCAACACCTTCTCCTGAACTCCATGAAAGTGGCTCCAAACAAAAGCTGTGGCCCTTGAACACCTTTTTTCATGTGACCCCTTTTCTCTTCACACATATTCCTGTCTGCTCTTTACTGTCACTGTGCTTTGAGAAAAGTTTCAAGGCTTCTTTATAATCTGGATGAGCCTTTAAGTAAGTTTTTGAATTAACAGGTAAGATTTTAGAAACCTTTGGCTTGGATTCTGACCACCACCATATACTGCAACAAAGATACAAGAAGAAACCACACCAAATGCTGGAAGTTATTTCTTGAATTCCCAAACTTGCAGATCTGTATTTCATTTATCTTCCTTATATAACACTTTAGCAGTAGTTTCCTGACACACCAAAGAACAGAGAGAAGAAAATGATGATTTTCCATAAAAGAAAGAGACAGGGAATTGTATCTTATACAGACCGAATGTTTCAATTTGTGTAGTGCACAAATGCATTGCAACAAAGATAAGGGTAACAGTGAAAAATCCACTTACACAAAGTAGACTGCAACCATTCTTTGACTGTTTTGTATGAAAATTTTCCTCAGGAGGTGTAAACAAGTATCTACTCACCCCAGACCAAGATCAGATCCAAATTTTTATTGTGTTTCTTATAGGAATATTGAAAAAATATTACTTATAGAAGCAGAAATGACTCAAAGAGAGCTATGTCACCAGTTCATCCCACAATGAGCATCAGCTCACAATAGAAAGAAATCTGGAGCACCCTTGACAGACTGTAGACAATACAATGCTTTGGAGAGTGTATGCTTCAGGTAGTTCAGGTGGTCAGAGCCCATTCTGCACAAACTGATTGGTGTCTACTTTTTCCAGGCATATTAGCTTGTCTGAGAGTGCCTAGCATCATCCTGGATATTCTCGAGGAAGGAGGACAGAATTATATCTGGTTTCTGGGACTTCTAAATCGTCAAAGTTGTTTAATTCTTGACCTTGATTTTACTTGCAGGATGCGAGTGTCCACCCATTATTGAAATATCCTGCTATTCTGCATCCTTTTGTCAACTCCCTGTATTTTTATCAATCTTTCCTCTACAGTGAAAGATTTTGATTTCTTTTTACCGGGAGATGCTATTAATTCCTGAGGTACAGATGTAGAAACTGCAGGGGCCACAGTGACTCCATTTCTCTCTAGACGCATAGACAGAAAGTTAATGTTTTTCAAGGCCAAATAACAGGTTGTTTGATTAAGGTTGTGCTTACTAGATGTGTTGAGTATTAAGGAGGTTATTATGATTGTTTGTTCCTTGTATCATTGATTTTTTGCATTCTCCTTTTGCTTAGGGTATTAAGAACTATGATTTATAAACTTGGGCTTTTTCAGTATTCACTGAAAAGCCTTCCAATTCTATCTTCTGTCTTTTGTCTCTTTCTCAATCCT